TTATTTCGGTTACACTTTTATTTTACATGAGAATCAACTGAACTCTACTCATTTTAGTCCTATCAACGTTTACTCATTATGTAATCACTTGTTACTGGCCATTTGAACTGTTGTCATAATCAGTGTTGTAGAATGTTCTTTTACAATATTCAGTCTATTGAATTTATTTACACCCTTGCTATACTATACTAATGTGTCTTCAATATAACTTCCAACCAAACCCTCTCGTGTAAGTAATTTAAACCCATTATGTAATTATGATTTTTTTGAATATCGCAGGTTGTAAACAGCTGATGAGAAGCAAACGAAATAAAATGAATTCATGCTATTCTGTTAGAATGTTTGTTCTTGTCCTTATCAAAATGATAAAGGCAACTTTGTGTATGAAAAGAATAAAGTTTAATAGATAAAACTATACCATCAGTATCATGGTATTAACTTTTAGTCTTTTCAAAATGTAATGATGATTGTCATTCATCTGATGAAAAATTATCATTATATGGTAGTTAAAACGGTTAAGATAAATTTGGAAAACACCACGTTTTATTGTGTGAGTTAATTACTCTAAAAGCAGAAAACACGTGACATATACACTTCTTCTGGCAGAAACAAATGAATTCCAATGATCAAATAAGGTCACAAGGTGAACAGACATATCTCTCTATTGCAAAATATTTGGTTGAGACTGGTCATCAGGTCGATATCAGGTCAGCCTTTTTAGTGTTGTACAAAAAGTCTTCAAGAACGTATATTAAGGTTGATTAAAGCCTTGGCTATAAGGAAACTGCCTTCATGTGTTTAAAAACTATTAAAAACCCTACATTAAAATATCTTTACATTGATTCCGCACATTTAAAGGTATTTAGAATCTTCATCCCCGAATTGACTCCTTAATGCAACCGTAAGTATGTGTTAGAAAATATGCTTCAATTGTAATAAGCACAATATAAAGGTAACCACGAGCGCTTCAGATGATGACATATGTATACATCTTGAGATTCAATAGATGGATACGTATTTCAAATCTAGAATCTATTGCTGAAAAATCAGTTAAACATCAATCTACCTAACTAACTGAAACACATGGTTTCTAAATTTTTCCAGGTTTTAAATCACTTTTCCAATCACAAATTGAGAAAACGTTCATCATAGAAACATATCTACCCGAGTGTAAGTCAATTTTCTTTTGGAACATTTATAATCTTACTATTAATATTGTAATTCACTCTTTTTTTCAACGGATTCCATAACTTTTGTGTACGAATAAATCATTTGAAAAATAAACAAATATAATTATAATCAAAGAGTTGTTTTGGGTATTATATTAATTTAATAATAACTGAAGCTAGACTACCATGGAAAACCTGTAAATACTCTGATTGTAGTCATTATACGCTCACGAGTGATGCTTTCTAAGAGGTATTTCCTGGAGTTCTTGTGAGAAGCCATGACCAGTGGATTTCAAATGGGTCTGTTAAGAGATTGTAACTAACTGAAGAAACGGTTGGACGATGGAGCAACTTCGTTGATTGGTTGCAGTTAGACACCAACACTGTTGGATTCCAGCTCGGTGCTCTAGAGGTTTGGCGCTCGCGCGCGAAACCGATAGGTTCTGGGTTCGGAATTCCATAACACAATGAAACGGCCATCCAGTGTTTCCAGATTTTCCATAGTGGTCCAGCTTCAACTGACTCATGAATTCAACTATTAAGTATAATTATGAAACAGCTATCTGTCTTCTAAATATATAAATATCCTTACCACTACATCAACAAACAGGTTAGCTTGTCTACGAATTTACTTCTAACAAATGATAAGACTCGTCATTCTTAATTATTTACACATTGGAATTAAACTAACTAGTCCTTTGATAGATTTCGATAGTGGAATAAGAAGACGAAGGTTATCAGAATTATGCAATATATGTTTGCGCAATACATTTCGAACAATCTGATCACACATAATGTACTTGTTAAGATATTTGTATATGCAAACTAAAAGATCATTCAAACAGATTGAAGGTAAGCCATAACAAAGAAAAATAAAGTAAACAAAAACAATGTGATAACTACTCTGAATAATAAATCAATATCACCAGAGTAGGTTAGGGTTTTTAATAGTTTTTAAACACATGAAGGCAGTTTCCTTATAGCCAAGGCTTTAATCAACCTTAATATACGTTCTTGAAGACTTTTTGTACAACACTAAAAAGGCTGACCTGATATCGACCTGATGACCAGTCTCAACCAAATATTTTGCAATAGAGAGATATGTCTGTTCACCTTGTAACCTTATTTGATCATTGGAATTCATTTGTTTCTGCCAGAAGAAGTGTAAATGTCGCGTGTTTTCTGCTTTTAGAGTAATTAACTCACACAATAAAACGTGGTGTTTTCCAAATTTATCTTAACCGTTTTAACTACCATATAATGATAATTTTTCATCAGATGAATGACAATCATCATTACATTTTGAAAAGACTAAAAGTTAATATCATGATACTGATGGTATAGTTTTATCTATGTTTTCGACACTGTGGTCTGATAAAATGTATAATGACTTCACTCAAATAACGTTTAGTTTTTTCGATGATTAAATGTTTTATTATTAAACACATATATTTTGATCGCTTTACAAGTTATCAAACAGAGTATAGCAGTCAGGTACTTTGACTCTCATCAAAAATTGTTGAGTAGATGGAAGTGAGACGTTTTATTAAAAGACCAAACAATGATGTGAGATTCAAAGTTTGTGAACAATATTTTGCTGATTAATTTTTCGACAATAGGAGTAAATATATGAAAGTACGGACAACAGTAAAACAAACTGCCGATGCTCTAAAAACGCAAGTTACTAGTCATGAGGAAAACAGACATGTGGGGGGCTTCTCCTTACATTCACAGAGGCAAGCCGAAATGTATTTTACATGTATATCTGTTTTCGCCATCCAAATTTCGGACGCTGATACCTTCCGATAATTAGGAATCATGACACGTTAATAGAAGAGCCGGTTGGTTTTCATCAATTGACTGAGATAGAATGGACTGGGTTGTCGATGCTCAATTGCTGATTTGTCTGTTAGATAAGATAAATTTTAGTTCATTTGTATAGTTCCGGTGTCGTGATGACAAGCTGAAATTCTCACAGCTGAATTTAAATAAGGCAGTATATTTTTTTTAACGAAGATTTTCAGATCGTCCATTTGAACATTACCAACACATGCTCTATGACGATACTTTAAACTAATTGTGAATGCGTATTTTTAAGTTAAATATATGTGGTTATCAGGTCAGTCTCAAACAATGAAAAATCCTCCAAACAGTTGTAGAGCTTCAGTAGTGTTCAATTGTTTGTTTATAAGTACAGCTAATAAGGTTATTCGCATAACACGTTTCATGAGGTGACCAACCAAGAGAGTCCTCCTTCGATCAATTCGTAAATGTGAGGGTGAACAGACAACAATTGCAGATAAGAGCAATGCATACTAAGCTTGGAGGTCATAACTGCAAAGAAACGTTCTGATGATACACGGTAAATGAATGTTGATCGATTAGATTGCCAGGAGAACAAAAGTGAAATAACAAATGAGATATACGTTTACACATCTCAACTAACAACATAGCCTGATTGCAAGTCGTAAGTCAGTAATGACTGATAAGTATTAGCAGAAAGTAAAAATGAAGAAAGAATCGAATAAGTCGGAAATCATGGTAAATAGATAAGGCAGAATTATTACTGAATGCTTACTAGTTTGCCACAACCAGGATTGATACCAATTTTACGACTTGTATTCTAAATTGACACAGTGCTAATTGGAATTCTTCGTATTTAAAAAACATAAATAGATGACTAATGTATCGCGCAGAAATATTTGTAAAGTTGAAACTTTTATAACACAATTTATATTATTTTGAGACAATGTGACCTGATAGACATTTTACCATTCATTAAGTCCTTTTTCTATTCATTTATATTTTATGTGGTTATTATTATTGGATAAATATCTACATATGTTTTTATGCTAATTTTGTATATAAGCAGCTTATATTGATAGGCTTAGTTGGCATTTTTCATACAACTGGAGTAATATGTTGCTTTCACTATTATCCAAACGGCAGAAAATTATTGTTCTTGTAATCAGTGTAACCTGTGTAGCGGTTGTTGGAATAGCACTGCTCGTACATTTCTTAAAGAGAAATTCTTATGGTATGTTTACACACATATTCATTATAGTTATCTGATTATGTTCTTAATTTTGGTAGCTATTCTATGGCATGACATTTTATATGAGAATAATTTTGATTGTGTCCTTAGGCATTAGTTTATTATGGGGATATTTGCTTCCTCTTAATGAATTTTTCTTGTATATTCGAAGATCTAGCTAACAGAGTTTGTTGAACTAAGTTGAACCACCTCGATTACATTGTCACTTTTTATTAGGAAGTGCTATAATATTTGATTGTGAAGTTATCTTTTTGTTCACATGGTCCATGAATTTATGAGTAATCAGTACTTACACGAATGTTTGAGTTTAGATTTTAGAAAACCATGATTCCCCGTTTTGACTGACGAAGCGGAAATCAAAGAAGATATGCGCTTCGACATGCTCACAACACGTGTCCATTTGTTAGAATACGTTTCAAACGCAATGATGGTGGCCAGTAAAGAAAGAACTTTCATTCGGGAATTTTCACCGATTATTTAGAACTAAGTAGTGACAGCTACACTGTAAACGTATGCTGAATAACAGATTAATAGAAATGAAAGAAATCGTTATATTCACGCCGTTTAGTACTCGAAATTGGAAGAAGAATAACCGTGAGGTGAATTAAGATCTTCGAAACTGTTACAATTGGGAATATATCAACTATGATACACGAAAACCATAGACAACGTTACACTCATTACATATACATATATTGTACACAAATTTTGACTACTTAATAAATGTGAACTATAAGAGACAAAATGTTTAAATACGATTCGATGGAATTCATATAATGAGTAAGAATGAGATTGAAGAAAGCTGTTTGGCACATATTTGTCAGTGCGAATCTATCTTAACTAAAACTGGGACAGTCACGTAATATGCATTTATTTCCATAAAACAGTGTATTCATGGCTTGATAAATATACATTACCACAGCGAAATATCGCCCAATTGTAATTTCCAAGTCACTAACAGTAAGGCGGCAACAGAAAAAGAAAAATATTGATAATAATGAGATTTAAAAACACCAATAGATGATGAACGATCTCAAGAAAGGTGGAAAATTGACCTAGTATTAAAGTGACATCTATTTATATATGGTTAAGAAAGAATAAAATTGAGAAATAACAAAAGAACAACCTAAATGTCGGTCGCAACTTACCAAATTAACGAACATTGATGAGTAAATAATCAACGCAAGTAGAAAACCAAAGAAAATTGTAAAGCAAACAGAGAGAAAGTAAAATAAAAAAATCTTAAATAAAAAATGGCACCCCGAATAGGAAAAGCATTACAAAAGAAGCTCAATTTCATGCATGATGATGAGGGTTGTAACGAAGAGTCTGTGTCACCTCTCTGTAAATATTTATCAATGTTGCTTTGTTTATGGTATGTTCTGATGCTTGTCAACTTGCACTGTTTCTGTAAGCGTGCTTCAAGTGACTAGGTTCACTCGATTTCCAACAAACCTCACTCTTCAATTATATTCGTAATTGGCTTCACATGGTTGTGCTTGTTAGTGATTGACAGAAAACATAACTGACGCACAACTTCATGCATGATGATGAGGGTTGGAACGAAGTGTCTGTGTCACCTCTCTGTAAATGGACTCATTATTTGTTTATACCTCATTCACATTTCCTTCACAGAAGAAGCCTCGTCGCCACTCACCAGTGAAACTTCATCTGGAGTTGAACGAGCAACGGAAACAGGTAAGCGTGTGAAATGGATTTTCGAGAGCTTTACCCTTTATATTTACACTTTGATTATCCGAGTGGATGACAAATGATTGGATACACGTCGACATGTCTGTCATCGTGATGTTTCCGTCTTACTATGTGTGGTTTATTGACATTAGTTGCCGTCAACTATGATGGTTTGGTGGTGGTTGTATGTGAATTGATCGACTTCACAATATTATGGTCTATTCGACTGCACCTCTCGATGACATGTAACTCTCATGTTGTCATTGAAAGCGATGTTGATTGTTCGTGTGTTTCGGAGAGTGTGGAATTCAATTTATTGCGTGTGACTGTGATGTACCTTAGTAAGTACTGACGCTCTTCTCTAATATCTGTATTGACACTTGTGATGAATCAGCCTTTGTGTTTTGTCCATGAGATTCACATGTGAACTGTGTCACAGATATCTTCCAGTTGCTCCTCTCACTCTCAAATGCTCAAGCATTGTTCGAAAAGATATCATTGTCAGATATGTTGCCACTACTTTCTTCCATTACTACACATGAAACAGCGAAATGTTGATGTACTTCACATCAACACTGCCACTATGTTTTCTCCCAGTCTACTGGACCAGTCGTGAAGTGGCACATTGGTTTCTGGTGTTGGTAGAGTGAACTATGTTATGCGGCACGGCACTCGCTTCACTCGTGTTTTCAATTTAGCATTATCAAACTTGTTGAACAGAAGTGAAGAAGAGCTGATGATTCAACTGAACTGTTGATATCAGTAATTAGCAGTTGTTGATTAGTCTAATTTGAGGTGTTCTTTCAAACGCTCAGAGATGCCGGTATTTTCAATGCTCGGACTGTTCACGCTCAACTCGCTAAACATAAACTGGCATGAATTGCATAGGATCCAACGAAATATTTATCAATGTTGCTTTGTTTATGGTATGTTTTGATGCTTGTCAACTTGCACTGTTTCTGTAAGCGTGCTTCAAGTGACTAGGTTCACTCGATTTCCAACAAACCTCACTCTTCAATTATATTCGTAATTGGCTTCACATGGTTGTGCTTGTTAGTGATTGACAGAAAACATAACTGACGCACAACTTCATGCATGATGATGAGGGTTGGAACGAAGTGTCTGTGTCACCTCTCTGTAAATGGACTCATTATTTGTTTATACCTCATTCACATTTCCTTCACAGAAGAAGCCTCGTCGCCACTCACCAGTGAAACTTCATCTGGAGTTGAACGAGCAACGGAAACAGGTAAGCGTGTGAAATGGATTTTCGAGAGCTTTACCCTTTATATTTACACTTTGATTATCCGAGTGGATGACAAATGATTGGATACACGTCGACATGTCTGTCATCGTGATGTTTCCGTCTTACTATGTGTGGTTCAATGACATTAGTTGGCGTCAACTATGATGGTTTGGTGGTGGTTGTATGTGAATTGATCGACTTCACAATATTATGGTCTATTCGACTGCACCTCTCGATCACATGTAACTCTCATGTTGTCATTGAAAGCGATGTTGATTGTTCGTGTGTTTCGGAGAGTGTGGAATTCAATTTACTGCGTGTGACTGTGATGTGCCTTAGTAAGTACTGACGGTCTTCTCTAATATCTGTATTGACACTTGTGGTGAATCAGCCTTTGTGTTTTGTCCATGAGATTCACATGTGAACTGTGTCACAGATATCTTCCAGTTGCTCCTCTCACTCTCAAATGCTCAAGCATTGTTCGAAAAGATATCATTGTCAGATATGTTGCCACTACTTTCTTCCATTACTACACATGAAACAGCGAAATGTTGATGTACTTCACATCAACACTGCCACTATGTTTTCTCCCAGTCTACTGAACCAGTCGTGAAGTGGCACATTGGTTTCTGGTGTTGGTAGAGTGAACTATGTTATGCGGCACGGCACTCGCTTCACTCGTGTTTTCAATTTAGCATTATCAAACTTGTTGAACAGAAGTGAAGAAGAGCTGATGATTCAACTGAACTGTTGATATCAGTAATTAGCAGTTGTTGATTAGTCTAATTTGAGGTGTTCTTTCAAACGCTCAGAGATGCCGGTATTTTCAATGCTCGGACTGTTCACGCTCAACTCGCTAAACATAAACTGGCATGAATTGCATAGGATCCAACGAAATATTTATCAATGTTGCTTTGTTTATGGTATGTTCTGATGCTTGTCAACTTGCTCTGTTTCTGTAAGCGTGCTTCAAGTGACTAGGTTCACTCGATTTCCAACAAACCTCACTCTTCAATTATATTCGTAATTGGCTTCACATGGTTGTGCTTGTTAGTGATTGACAGAAAACATAACTGACGCACAACTTCATGCATGATGATGAGGGTTGGAACGAAGTGTCTGTGTCACCTCTCTGTAAATGGACTCATTATTTGTTTATACCTCATTCACATTTCCTTCACAGAACAAGCCTCGTCGCCACTCACCAGTGAAACTTCATCTGGAGTTGAACGAGCAACGGAAACAGGTAAGCGTGTGAAATGGATTTTTGAGAGCCTTACCCTTAATATTTACACTTTGATTATCCGAGTGGATGACAAATGATTGGATACACGTCGACATGTCTGTCATCGTGATGTTTCCGTCTTACTATGTGTGGTTCAATGACATTAGTTGGCGTCAACTATGATGGTTTGGTGGTGGTTGTATGTGAATTGATCGACTTCACAATATTATGGTCTATTCGACTGCACCTCTCGATCACATGTAACTCTCATGTTGTCATTGAAAGCGATGTTGATTGTTCGTGTGTTTCGGAGAGTGTGGAATTCAATTTACTGCGTGTGACTGTGATGTACCTTAGTAAGTACTGACGGTCTTCTCTAATATCTGTATTGACACTTGTGGTGAATCAGCCTTTGTGTTTTGTCCATGAGATTCACATGTGAACTGTGTCACAGATATCTTCCAGTTGCTCCTCTCACTCTCAAATGCTCAAGCATTGTTCGAAAAGATATCATTGTCAGATATGTTGCCACTACTTTCTTCCATTACTACACATGAAACAGCGAAATGTTGATGTACTTCACATCAACACTGCCACTATGTTTTCTCCCAGTCTACTGAACCAGTCGTGAAGTGGCACATTGGTTTCTGGTGTTGGTAGAGTGAACTATGTTATGCGGCACGGCACTCGCTTCACTCGTGTTTTCAATTTAGCATTATCAAACTTGTTGAACAGAAGTGAAGAAGAGCTGATGATTCAACTGAACTGTTGATATCAGTAATTAGCAGTTGTTGATTAGTCTAATTTGAGGTGTTCTTTCAAACGCTCAGAGATGCCGGTATTTTCAATGCTCGGACTGTTCACGCTCAACTCGCTAAACATAAACTGGCATGAATTGCATAGGATCCAACGAAATATTTATCAATGTTGCTTTGTTTATGGTATGTTCTGATGCTTGTCAACTTGCTCTGTTTCTGTAAGCGTGCTTCAAGTGACTAGGTTCACTCGATTTCCAACAAACCTCACTCTTCAATTATATTCGTAATTGGCTTCACATGGTTGTGCTTGTTAGTGATTGACAGAAAACATAACTGACGCACAACTTCATGCATGATGATGAGGGTTGGAACGAAGTGTCTGTGTCACCTCTCTGTAAATGGACTCATTATTTGTTTATACCTCATTCACATTTCCTTCACAGAACAAGCCTCGTCGCCACTCACCAGTGAAACTTCATCTGGAGTTGAACGAGCAACGGAAACAGGTAAGCGTGTGAAATGGATTTTTGAGAGCTTTACCCTTAATATTTACACTTTGATTATCCGAGAGGATGACAAATGATTGGATACACGTCGACATGTCTGTCATCGTGATGTTTCCGTCTTACTATGTGTGGTTTATTGACATTAGTTGCCGTCAACTATGATGGTTTGGTGGTGGTTGTTTGTGAATTGATCGACTTCGCAATATTATGGTCTATTCGACTGCACCTCTCGATCACATGTAACTCTCATGTTGTCATTGAAAGCGATGTTGATTGTTCGTGTGTTTTGGAGAGTGTGGAATTCAATTTATTGCGTGTGACTGTGATGTACCTTAGTAAGTACTGACGGTCTTCTCCAATATCTGTATTGACACTTGTGGTGAATCAGCCTTTGTGTTTTGTCCATGAGATTCACATGTGAACTGTGTCACAGATATCTTCCAGTTGCTCCTCTCACTCTCAAATGCTCAAGCATTGTTCGAAAAGATATCATTGTCAGATATGTTGCCACTACTTTCTTCCATTACTACACATGAAACAGCGAAATGTTGATGTACTTCACATCAACACTGCCACTATGTTTTCTCCCAGTCTACTGAACCAGTCGTGAAGTGGCACATTGGTTTCTGGTGTTGGTAGAGTGAACTATGTTATGCGGCACGGCACTCGCTTCACTCGTGTTTTCAATTTAGCATTATCAAACTTGTTGAACAGAAGTGAAGAAGAGCTGATGATTCAACTGAACTGTTGATATCAGTAATTAGCAGTTGTTGATTAGTCTAATTTGAGGTGTTCTTTCAAACGCTCACAGATGCCGGTATTTTCAATGCTCGGACTGTTCACGCTCAACTCGCTAAACATAAACTGGCATGAATTGCATAGGATCCAACGAAATATTTATCAATGTTGCTTTGTTTATGGTATGTTCTGATGCTTGTCAACTTGCTCTGTTTCTGTAAGCGTGCTTCAAGTGACTAGGTTCACTCGATTTCCAACAAACCTCACTCTTCAATTATATTCGTAATTGGCTTCACATGGTTGTGCTTGTTAGTGATTGACAGAAAACATAACTGACGCACAACTTCATGCATGATGATGAGGGTTGGAACGAAGTGTCTGTGTCACCTCTCTGTAAATGGACTCATTATTTGTTTATACCTCATTCACATTTCCTTCACAGAACAAGCCTCGTCGCCACTCACCAGTGAAACTTCATCTGGAGTTGAACGAGCAACGGAAACAGGTAAGCGTGTGAAATGGATTTTTGAGAGCCTTACCCTTAATATTTACACTTTGATTATCCGAGTGGATGACAAATGATTGGATACACGTCGACATGTCTGTCATCGTGATGTTTCCGTCTTACTATGTGTGGTTCAATGACATTAGTTGGCGTCAACTATGATGGTTTGGTGGTGGTTGTATGTGAATTGATCGACTTCACAATATTATGGTCTATTCGACTGCACCTCTCGATCACATGTAACTCTCATGTTGTCATTGAAAGCGATGTTGATTGTTCGTGTGTTTCGGAGAGTGTGGAATTCAATTTATTGCGTGTGACTGTGATGTACCTTAGTAAGTACTGACGGTCTTCTCTAATATCTGTATTGACACTTGTGGTGAATCAGCCTTTGTGTTTTGTCCATGAGATTCACATGTGAACTGTGTCACAGATATCTTCCAGTTGCTCCTCTCACTCTCAAATGCTCAAGCATTGTTCGAAAAGATATCATTGTCAGATATGTTGCCACTACTTTCTTCCATTACTACACATGAAACAGCGAAATGTTGATGTACTTCACATCAACACTGCCACTATGTTTTCTCCCAGTCTACTGAACCAGTCGTGAAGTGGCACATTGGTTTCTGGTGTTGGTAGAGTGAACTATGTTATGCGGCACGGCACTCGCTTCACTCGTGTTTTCAATTTAGCATTATCAAACTTGTTGAACAGAAGTGAAGAAGAGCTGATGATTCAACTGAACTGTTGATATCAGTAATTAGCAGTTGTTGATTAGTCTAATTTGAGGTGTTCTTTCAAACGCTCAGAGATGCCGGTATTTTCAATGCTCGGACTGTTCACGCTCAACTCGCTAAACATAAACTGGCATGAATTGCATAGGATCCAACGAAATATTTATCAATGTTGCTTTGTTTATGGTATGTTTTGATGCTTGTCAACTTGCACTGTTTCTGTAAGCGTGCTTCAAGTGACTAGGTTCACTCGATTTCCAACAAACCTCACTCTTCAATTATATTCGTAATTGGCTTCACATGGTTGTGCTTGTTAGTGATTGACAGAAAACATAACTGACGCACAACTTCATGCATGATGATGAGGGTTGGAACGAAGTGTCTGTGTCACCTCTCTGTAAATGGACTCATTATTTGTTTATACCTCATTCACATTTCCTTCACAGAACAAGCCTCGTCGCCACTCACCAGTGAAACTTCATCTGGAGTTGAACGAGCAACGGAAACAGGTAAGCGTGTGAAATGGATTTTTGAGAGCTTTACCCTTAATATTTACACTTTGATTATCCGAGTGGATGACAAATGATTGGATACACGTCGACATGTCTGTCATCGTGATGTTTCCGTCTTACTATGTGTGGTTTATTGACATTAGTTGCCGTCAACTATGATGGTTTGGTGGTGGTTGTATGTGAATTGATCGACTTCACAATATTATGGTCTATTCGACTGCACCTCTCGATGACATGTAACTCTCATGTTGTCATTGAAAGCGATGTTGATTGTTCGTGTGTTTCGGAGAGTGTGGAATTCAATTTATTGCGTGTGACTGTGATGTACCTTAGTAAGTACTGACGCTCTTCTCTAATATCTGTATTGACACTTGTGATGAATCAGCCTTTGTGTTTTGTCCATGAGATTCACATGTGAACTGTGTCACAGATATCTTCCAGTTGCTCCTCTCACTCTCAAATGCTCAAGCATTGTTCGAAAAGATATCATTGTCAGATATGTTGCCACTACTTTCTTCCATTACTACACATGAAACAGCGAAATGTTGATGTACTTCACATCAACACTGCCACTATGTTTTCTCCCAGTCTACTGAACCAGTCGTGAAGTGGCACATTGGTTTCTGGTGTTGGTAGAGTGAACTATGTTATGCGGCACGGCACTCGCTTCACTCGTGTTTTCAATTTAGCATTATCAAACTTGTTGAACAGAAGTGAAGAAGAGCTGATGATTCAACTGAACTGTTGATATCAGTAATTAGCAGTTGTTGATTAGTCTAATTTGAGGTGTTCTTTCAAACGCTCAGAGATGCCGGTATTTTCAATGCTCGGACTGTTCACGCTCAACTCGCTAAACATAAACTGGCATGAATTGCATAGGATCCAACGAAATATTTATCAATGTTGCTTTGTTTATGGTATGTTCTGATGCTTGTCAACTTGCTCTGTTTCTGTAAGCGTGCTTCAAGTGACTAGGTTCACTCGATTTCCAACAAACCTCACTCTTCAATTATATTCGTAATTGGCTTCACATGGTTGTGCTTGTTAGTGATTGACAGAAAACATAACTGACGCACAACTTCATGCATGATGATGAGGGTTGGAACGAAGTGTCTGTGTCACCTCTCTGTAAATGGACTCATTATTTGTTTATACCTCATTCACATTTCCTTCACAGAACAAGCCTCGTCGCCACTCACCAGTGAAACTTCATCTGGAGTTGAACGAGCAACGGAAACAGGTAAGCGTGTGAAATGGATTTTTGAGAGCCTTACCCTTAATATTTACACTTTGATTATCCGAGTGGATGACAAATGATTGGATACACGTCGACATGTCTGTCATCGTGATGTTTCCGTCTTACTATGTGTGGTTCAATGACATTAGTTGGCGTCAACTATGATGGTTTGGTGGTGGTTGTATGTGAATTGATCGACTTCACAATATTATGGTCTATTCGACTGCACCTCTCGATCACATGTAACTCTCATGTTGTCATTGAAAGCGATGTTGATTGTTCGTGTGTTTCGGAGAGTGTGGAATTCAATTTATTGCGTGTGACTGTGATGTGCCTTAGTAAGTACTGACGGTCTTCTCTAATATCTGTATTGACACTTGTGGTGAATCAGCCTTTGTGTTTTGTCCATGAGATTCACATGTGAACTGTGTCACAGATATCTTCCAGTTGCTCCTCTCACTCTCAAATGCTCAAGCATTGTTCGAAAAGATATCATTGTCAGATATGTTGCCACTACTTTCTTCCATTACTACACATGAAACAGCGAAATGTTGATGTACTTCACATCAACACTGCCACTATGTTTTCTCCCAGTCTACTGAACCAGTCGTGAAGTGGCACATTGGTTTCTGGTGTTGGTAGAGTGAACTATGTTATGCGGCACGGCACTCGCTTCACTCGTGTTTTCAATTTAGCATTATCAAACTTGTTGAACAGAAGTGAAGAAGAGCTGATGATTCAACTGAACTGTTGATATCAGTAATTAGCAGTTGTTGATTAGTCTAATTTGAGGTGTTCTTTCAAACGCTCAGAGATGCCGGTATTTTCAATGCTCGGACTGTTCACGCTCAACTCGCTAAACATAAACTGGCATGAATTGCATAGGATCCAACGAAATATTTATCAATGTTGCTTTGTTTATGGTATGTTCTGATGCTTGTCAACTTGCTCTGTTTCTGTAAGCGTGCTTCAAGTGACTAGGTTCACTCGATTTCCAACAAACCTCACTCTTCAATTATATTCGTAATTGGCTTCACATGGTTGTGCTTGTTAGTGATTGACAGAAAACATAACTGACGCACAACTTCATGCATGATGATGAGGGTTGGAACGAAGTGTCTGTGTCACCTCTCTGTAAATGGACTCATTATTTGTTTATACCTCATTCACATTTCCTTCACAGAACAAGCCTCGTCGCCACTCACCAGTGAAACTTCATCTGGAGTTGAACGAGCAACGGAAACAGGTAAGCGTGTGAAATGGATTTTTGAGAGCTTTACCCTTAATATTTACACTTTGATTATCCGAGTGGATGACAAATGATTGGATACACGTCGACATGTCTGTCATCGTGATGTTTCCGTCTTACTATGTGTGGTTCAATGACATTAGTTGCCGTCAACTATGATGGTTTGGTGGTGGTTGTATGTGAATTGATCGACTTCGCAATATTATGGTCTATTCGACTGCACCTCTCGATCACATGTAACTCTCATGTTGTCATTGAAAGCGATGTTGATTGTTCGTGTGTTTTGGAGAGTGTGGAATTCAATTTATTGCGTGTGACTGTGATGTACCTTAGTAAGTACTGACGGTCTTCTCTAATATCTGTATTGACACTTGTGGTGAATCAGCCTTTGTGTTTTGTCCATGAGATTCACATGTGAACTGTGTCACAGATATCTTCCAGTTGCTCCTCTCACTCTCAAATGCTCAAGCATTGTTCGAAAAGATATCATTGTCAGATATGTTGCCACTACTTTCTTCCATTACTACACATGAAACAGCGAAATGTTGATGTACTTCACATCAACACTGCCACTATGTTTTCTCCCAGTCTACTGAACCAGTCGTGAAGTGGCACATTGGTTTCTGGTGTTGGTAGAGTGAACTATGTTATGCGGCACGGCACTCGCTTCACTCGTGTTTTCAATTTAGCATTATCAAACTTGTTGAACAGAAGTGAAGAAGAGCTGATGATTCAACTGAACTGTTGATATCAGTAATTAGCAGTTGTTGATTAGTCTAATTTGAGGTGTTCTTTCAAACGCTCAGAGATGCCGGTATTTTCAATGCTCGGACTGTTCACGCTCAACTCGCTAAACATAAACTGGCATGAATTGCATAGGATCCAACGAAATATTTATCAATGTTGCTTTGTTTATGGTATGTTCTGATGCTTGTCAACTTGCTCTGTTTCTGTAAGCGTGCTTCAAGTGACTAGGTTCACTCGATTTCCAACAAACCTCACTCTTCAATTATATTCGTAATTGGCTTCACATGGTTGTGCTTGTTAGTGATTGACAGAAAACATAACTGACGCACAACTTCATGCATGATGATGAGGGTTGGAACGAAGTGTCTGTGTCACCTCTCTGTAAATGGACTCATTATTTGTTTATACCTCATTCACATTTCCTTCACAGAACAAGCCTCGTCGCCACTCACCAGTGAAACTTCATCTGGAGTTGAACGAGCAACGGAAACAGGTAAGCGTGTGAAATGGATTTTTGAGAGCCTTACCCTTAATATTTACACTTTGATTATCCGAGTGGATGACAAATGATTGGATACACGTCGACATGTCTGTCATCGTGATGTTTCCGTCTTACTATGTGTGGTTCAATGACATTAGTTGGCGTCAACTATGATGGTTTGGTGGTGGTTGTATGTGAATTGATCGACTTCACAATATTATGGTCTATTCGACTGCACCTCTCGATCACATGTAACTCTCATGTTGTCATTGAAAGCGATGTTGATTGTTCGTGTGTTTCGGAGAGTGTGGAATTCAATTTATTGCGTGTGACTGTGATGTACCTTAGTAAGTACTGACGGTCTTCTCTAATATCTGTATTGACACTTGTGGTGAATCAGCCTTTGTGTTTTGTCCATGAGATTCACATGTGAACTGTGTCACAGATATCTTCCAGTTGCTCCTCTCACTCTCAAATGCTCAAGCATTGTTCGAAAAGATATCATTGTCAGATATGTTGCCACTACTTTCTTCCATTACTACACATGAAACAGCGAAATGTTGATGTACTTCACATCAACACTGCCACTATGTTTTCTCCCAGTCTACTGAACCAGTCGTGAAGTGGCACATTGGTTTCTGGTGTTGATAGAGTGAACTATGTTATGCGGCACGGCACTCGCTTCACTCGTGTTTTCAATTTAGCATTATCAAACTTGTTGAACAGAAGTGAAGAAGAGCTGATGATTCAACTGAACTGTTGATATCAGTAATTAGCAGTTGTTGATTAGTCTAATTTGAGGTGTTCTTTCAAACGCTCAGAGATGCCGGTATTTTCAATGCTCGGACTGTTCACGCTCAACTCGCTAAACATAAACTGGCATGAATTGCATAGGATCCAACGAAATATTTATCAATGTTGCTTTGTTTATGGTATGTTCTGATGCTTGTCAACTTGCTCTGTTTCTGTAAGCGTGCTTCAAGTGACTAGGTTCACTCGATTTCCAACAAACCTCACTCTTCAATTATATTCGTAATTGGCTTCACATGGTTGTGCTTGTTAGTGATTGACAGAAAACATAACTGACGCACAACTTCATGCATGATGATGAGGGTTGGAACGAAGTGTCTGTGTCACCTCTCTGTAAATGGACTCATTATTTGTTTATACCTCATTCACATTTCCTTCACAGAACAAGCCTCGTCGCCACTCACCAGTGAAACTTCATCTGGAGTTGAACGAGCAACGGAAACAGGTAAGCGTGTGAAATGGATTTTTGAGAGCTTTACCCTTAATATTTACACTTTGATTATCCGAGTGGATGACAAATGATTGGATACACGTCGACATGTCTGTCATCGTGATGTTTCCGTCTTACTATGTGTGGTTTATTGACATTAGTTGGCGTCAACTATGATGGTTTGGTGGTGGTTGTATGTGAATTGATCGACTTCACAATATTATGGTCTATTCGACTGCACCTCTCGATCACATGTAACTCTCATGTTGTCATTGAAAGCGATGTTGATTGTTCGTGTGTTTCGGAGAGTGTGGAATTCAATTTATTGCGTGTGACTGTGATGTGCCTTAGTAAGTACTGACGGTCTTCTCTAATATCTGTATTGACACTTGTGGTGAATCAGCCTTTGTGTTTTGTCCATGAGATTCACATGTGAACTGTGTCACAGATATCTTCCAGTTGCTCCTCTCACTCTCAAATGCTCAAGCATTGTTCGAAAAGATATCATTGTCAGATATGTTGCCACTACTTTCTTCCATTACTACACATGAAACAGCGAAATGTTGATGTACTTCACATCAACACTGCCACTATGTTTTCTCCCAGTCTACTGAACCAGTCGTGAAGTGGCACATTGGTTTCTGGTGTTGGTAGAGTGAACTATGTTATGCGGCACGGCACTCGCTTCACTCGTGTTTTCAATTTAGCATTATCAAACTTGTTGAACAGAAGTGAAGAAGAGCTGATGATTCAACTGAACTGTTGATATCAGTAATTAGCAGTTGTTGATTAGTCTAATTTGAGGTGTTCTTTCAAACGCTCAGAGATGCCGGTATTTTCAATGCTCGGACTGTTCACGCTCAACTCGCTAAACATAAACTGGCATGAATTGCATAGCATCCAACGAAATATTTATCAATGTTGCTTTGTTTATGGTATGTTCTGATGCTTGTCAACTTGCTCTGTTTCTGTAAGCGTGCTTCAAGTGACTAGGTTCACTCGATTTCCAACAAACCTCACTCTTCAATTATATTCGTAATTGGCTTCACATGGTTGTGCTTGTTAGTGATTGACAGAAAACATAACTGACGCACAACTTCATGCATGATGATGAGGGTTGGAACGAAGTGTCTGTGTCACCTCTCTGTAAATGGACTCATTATTTGTTTATACCTCATTCACATTTCCTTCACAGAACAAGCCTCGTCGCCACTCACCAGTGAAACTTCATCTGGAGTTGAACGAGCAACGGAAACAGGTAAGCGTGTGAAATGGATTTTTGAGAGCCTTACCCTTAATATTTACACTTTGATTATCCGAGTGGATGACAAATGATTGGATACACGTCGACATGTCTGTCATCGTGATGTTTCCGTCTTACTATGTGTGGTTTATTGACATTAGTTGGCGTCAACTATGATGGTTTGGTGGTGGTTGTATGTGAATTGATCGACTTCACAATATTATGGTCTATTCGACTGCACCTCTCGATCACATGTAACTCTCATGTTGTCATTGAAAGCGATGTTGATTGTTCGTGTGTTTCGGAGAGTGTGGAATTCAATTTATTGCGTGTGACTGTGATGTACCTTAGTAAGTACTGACGCTCTTCTCTAATATCTGTATTGACACTTGTGATGAATCAGCCTTTGTGTTTTGTCCATGAGATTCACATGTGAACTGTGTCACAGATATCTTCCAGTTGCTCCTCTCACTCTCAAATGCTCAAGCATTGTTCGAAAAGATATCATTGTCAGATATGTTGCCACTACTTTCTTCCATTACTACACATGAAACAGCGAAATGTTGATGTACTTCACATCAACACTGCCACTATGTTTTCTCCCAGTCTACTGAACCAGTCGTGAAGTGGCACATTGGTTTCTGGTGTTGGTAGAGTGAACTATGTTATGCGGCACGGCACTCGCTTCACTCGTGTTTTCAATTTAGCATTATCAAACTTGTTGAACAGAAGTGAAGAAGAGCTGATGATTCAACTGAACTGTTGATATCAGTAATTAGCAGTTGTTGATTAGTCTAATTTGAGGTGTTCTTTCAAACGCTCAGAGATGCCGGTATTTTCAATGCTCGGACTGTTCACGCTCAACTCGCTAAACATAAACTGGCATGAATTGCATAGGATCCAACGAAATATTTATCAATGTTGCTTTGTTTATGGTATGTTCTGATGCTTGTCAACTTGCTCTGTTTCTGTAAGCGTGCTTCAAGTGACTAGGTTCACTCGATTTCCAACAAACCTCACTCTTCAATTATATTCGTAATTGGCTTCACATGGTTGTGCTTGTTAGTGATTGACAGAAAACATAACTGACGCACAACTTCATGCATGATGATGAGGGTTGGAACGAAGTGTCTGTGTCACCTCTCTGTAAATGGACTCATTATTTGTTTATACCTCATTCACATTTCCTTCACAGAACAAGCCTCGTCGCCACTCACCAGTGAAACTTCATCTGGAGTTGAACGAGCAACGGAAACAGGTAAGCGTGTGAAATGGATTTTTGAGAGCCTTACCCTTAATATTTACACTTTGATTATCCGAGTGGATGACAAATGATTGGATACACGTCGACATGTCTGTCATCGTGATGTTTCCGTCTTACTATGTGTGGTTTATTGACATTAGTTGGCGTCAACTATGATGGTTTGGTGGTGGTTGTATGTGAATTGATCGACTTCACAATATTATGGTCTATTCGACTGCACCTCTCGATCACATGTAACTCTCATGTTGTCATTGAAAGCGATGTTGATTGTTCGTGTGTTTCGGAGAGTGTGGAATTCAATTTATTGCGTGTGACTGTGATGTACCTTAGTAAGTACTGACGCTCTTCTCTAATATCTGTATTGACACTTGTGATGAATCAGCCTTTGTGTTTTGTCCATGAGATTCACATGTGAACTGTGTCACAGATATCTTCCAGTTGCTCCTCTCACTCTCAAATGCTCAAGCATTGTTCGAAAAGATATCATTGTCAGATATGTTGCCACTACTTTCTTCCATTACTACACATGAAACAGCGAAATGTTGATGTACTTCACATCAACACTGCCACTATGTTTTCTCCCAGTCTACTGAACCAGTCGTGAAGTGGCACATTGGTTTCTGGTGTTGGTAGAGTGAACTATGTTATGCGGCACGGCACTCGCTTCACTCGTGTTTTCAATTTAGCATTATCAAACTTGTTGAACAGAAGTGAAGAAGAGCTGATGATTCAACTGAACTGTTGATATCAGTAATTAGCAGTTGTTGATTAGTCTAATTTGAGGTGTTCTTTCAAACGCTCAGAGATGCCGGTATTTTCAATGCTCGGACTGTTCACGCTCAACTCGCTAAACATAAACTGGCATGAATTGCATAGGATCCAACGAAATATTTATCAATGTTGCTTTGTTTATGGTATGTTCTGATGCTTGTCAACTTGCTCTGTTTCTGTAAGCGTGCTTCAAGTGACTAGGTTCACTCGATTTCCAACAAACCTCACTCTTCAATTATATTCGTAATTGGCTTCACATGGTTGTGCTTGTTAGTGATTGACAGAAAACATAACTGACGCACAACTTCATGCATGATGATGAGGGTTGGAACGAAGTGTCTGTGTCACCTCTCTGTAAATGGACTCATTATTTGTTTATACCTCATTCACATTTCCTTCACAGAAGAAGCCTCGTCGCCACTCACCAGTGAAACTTCATCTGGAGTTGAACGAGCAACGGAAACAGGTAAGCGTGTGAAATGGATTTTTGAGAGCCTTACCCTTAATATTTACACTTTGATTATCCGAGTGGATGACAAATGATTGGATACACGTCGACATGTCTGTCATCGTGATGTTTCCGTCTTACTATGTGTGGTTCAATGACATTAGTTGCCGTCAACTATGATGGTTTGGTGGTGGTTGTATGTGAATTGATCGACTTCACAATATTATGGTCTATTCGACTGCACCTCTCGATGACATGTAACTCTCATGTTGTCATTGAAAGCGATGTTGATTGTTCGTGTGTTTCGGAGAGTGTGGAATTCAATTTATTGCGTGTGACTGTGATGTACCTTAGTAAGTACTGACGCTCTTCTCTAATATCTGTATTGACACTTGTGGTGAATCAGCCTTTGTGTTTTGTCCATGAGATTCACATGTGAACTGTGTCACAGATATCTTCCAGTTGCTCCTCTCACTCTCAAATGCTCAAGCATTGTTCGAAAAGATATCATTGTCAGATATGTTGCCACTACTTTCTTCCATTACTACACATGAAACAGCGAAATGTTGATGTACTTCACATCAACACTGCCACTATGTTTTCTCCCAGTCTACTGAACCAGTCGTGAAGTGGCACATTGGTTTCTGGTGTTGGTAGAGTGAACTATGTTATGCGGCACGGCACTCGCTTCACTCGTGTTTTCAATTTAGCATTATCAAACTTGTTGAACAGAAGTGAAGAAGAGCTGATGATTCAACTGAACTGTTGATATCAGTAATTAGCAGTTGTTGATTAGTCTAATTTGAGGTGTTCTTTCAAACGCTCAGAGATGCCGGTATTTTCAATGCTCGGACTGTTCACGCTCAACTCGCTAAACATAAACTGGCATGAATTGCATAGGATCCAACGAAATATTTATCAATGTTGCTTTGTTTATGGTATGTTTTGATGCTTGTCAACTTGCACTGTTTCTGTAAGCGTGCTTCAAGTGACTAGGTTCACTCGATTTCCAACAAACCTCACTCTTCAATTATATTCGTAATTGGCTTCACATGGTTGTGCTTGTTAGTGATTGACAGAAAACATAACTGACGCACAACTTCATGCATGATGATGAGGGTTGGAACGAAGTGTCTGTGTCACCTCTCTGTAAATGGACTCATTATTTGTTTATACCTCATTCACATTTCCTTCACAGAAGAAGCCTCGTCGCCACTCACCAGTGAAACTTCATCTGGAGTTGAACGAGCAACGGAAACAGGTAAGCGTGTGAAATGGATTTTCGAGAGCTTTACCCTTTATATTTACACTTTGATTATCCGAGTGGATGACAAATGATTGGATACACGTCGACATGTCTGTCATCGTGATGTTTCCGTCTTACTATGTGTGGTTTATTGACATTAGTTGCCGTCAACTATGATGGTTTGGTGGTGGTTGTATGTGAATTGATCGACTTCACAATATTATGGTCTATTCGACTGCACCTCTCGATGACATGTAACTCTCATGTTGTCATTGAAAGCGATGTTGATTGTTCGTGTGTTTCGGAGAGTGTGGAATTCAATTTATTGCGTGTGACTGTGATGTACCTTAGTAAGTACTGACGGTCTTCTCTAATATCTGTATTGACACTTGTGGTGAATCAGATAATACATAAAGATTTCACGTATTCCTTTTCTGAAATTTCATTTATTACAGATTTTCTTTTGTTTTTATTGGTTTTGGCGTCTTTTATACCAACTTCATATCTGTGAACGTAATATTATGCTATCGATCGAAATTAGCACGCCACGTTGTAGTTCTAGAACGTTCAATCATACTTTGATTGCTTAGACCCTTCGGCTCTTTTTGCTTTTCTAGAGGCTCCGCTGAAATTCTCTAGAAGCCGACCTAACATCTCCCTCGAACAAGATTTCTTTCTGGGATCTACTTGTATTTTGACAACTGGGGTGCGACGGCGTCCCATTATTCTTGTAGCACTTCTTCTTGAAAACGACGGTTCGGCCACTTGGTGAGAAGATAACTTAAAACTTCTCTTAAAGTCTTGTCACTTTCCATGGCTTCTTTGATAGCCTTGAAAGTAACTGGTAAAACATCAACTGCGTCTTCCAATACTGGACGTACTTCTGTTTCCGTCTCGATTGTTGCCACCAAAGTGTCTTCTTCCTGTTTTACATGTGAGTCAATCAGTCTAGATTAAGCGTCAGCTTATCCAAAATCAGTAGTAGGCTGGTACTTGATCTTGAAGTCATAACCCAAGAGTGTAGTTCCCCAACGTTGCATTCTATTTGCCGTGTATACAGGTATACCTTTCTTTGACCCAAAAACTGCAAGCAGTGGCTTGTAGTCTGTTATTAGGGTAAAACGTCGACCACATTTCATCTTGTGGAACATTTTCACTGCAAAAATAATTGATAGAGCTTCTTTCTCAGTCCGACTATAGTTCCTTTCGATCGTTGTCAAAGATCTGGCAGCGTGTGCGATAGCTTTTTCAGATCCATCAGGAAAAATGTGAGAGATAACTGCGCCCACACCATTGTTAGAAGCATCTGAAGCAACGACTATGGGCAGCGAAGCATTATAATGCGTCAATAGGAGATTGGAAGTCAGGAGTTGCTTGATTTTCTCGAAAGACACTTGGCAGTCTGCAGAACAATTCCATCTTGTGTTCTTTTGTAGTAGGTTGTTAAGTGGGGCACGTAGACGATGGAGATCGGGGAGGAAGATACCATAATGACTGACCAATCCCAAGAACGATCGCATGGTAGTAATGTCCCTGGGTCTAGGCATTGTTTTCACTGCTTCAATGTTCTCTGAATCTGGTCGTCTTCCGTCTTTATCTATTATGAACCCAAGGTACCGTACTTACTGCATATAGGAGTCACACTTTTTCGCTCAGAGGCGAAAACCATAATCGGCTATGCGTTCTAGTACCTGGTCCAGTTTCTTCTGCGGGTCCATTTTGTCTACTACCATAATTATGATGTCGTCTAAGTAAGCTGCTGCCCATGGAATACCTTGTAACATGGTATCCATAATTTGCTGGAAAATAGAGGGCGCTGTCTTCACCCCAAAACGTAGTCGGTTATACCGAAACAGACCTCTGTGTGTGTTGGTCGTTAAGAGATCTTTGCTTTCATCAGATACAGGGATTTGTAGGTATGCGTCTGATAAGTCCAATTTCGCAAAATATCTGCCACCATTCAGCTTAGCGAAAAGATATTCCGGTAAGGGCAACGGATACTGGTGAGACTCTAGAGCTTCATTTAATCCCGTGGAGTAGTCTGCACATAGACGGACACTTCCATTCAACTTCTTGACTACCACTATTGGTGCAGCCCAATTCGAGAAGTTTACAGGCTCGATAACACCCATTTGCTGAAGTCGTTGTAATTCTTGTTCAACTATTGGAAGAGCAGCATAGGGTACAAGTCTTTTAGGTCGAAAAACGGGAGTAGCTGCAGGTTTTAGGGTTATCACTGCTTTGGCCTTCGTACATTCCCCCAATCCTTCTTTACACACGTTTTGGTGTCTTTATAGCATGGCATTTTTCTGGCTCCACTCTGAGGTGTTGTCAGTACTAACACGTCTGCAGATACTGTTGATAGAATAGTCTGCTGGTTTAAGTGTTTCTATAAGATCTAACCCCATTAAGTCGAGTGCTGGCTTCTTTGTAAGATATACTGTTGCATTTGTTGTCGATCGAACGCTATATTCGTTTTATTAAGGTATTTTGATAGGCGCTGTCCTGAAGACCAGAGATAATACACAAATATGAGAAGGAAATACATTATCCGAAGTTTCATTTTTGTACAGATAATCATAGGGATTTATAGATATTGGCGTCTGTTAAATCAACTTCATATTTCAGCCAATTCGTTAACGAAATATGATGCTACCCACCAATAGTAGCACGCCACGTTGGAGCTCTAGAACGTTCGATCATACTCTGATTGGCTAGGACCCTTAGGCTCCTTTTGGGCTTCTGGAGGCTCCGCTGAAGTTCTCCGGAAGCCGACTCAACAATTAACATGTGAACTGAGTCACAGATACCTTCCAGTTGCTCCTCTCACTCTCAAATGCTCAAGCATTGTTCGAAAAGATATCATTGTCAGATATGTTGCCACTACTTTCTTCCATTACTACACATGAAACAGCGAAATGTTGATGTACTTAACATGAATTCTCTCACTGTATTCTCTTCCAGGCTACGGAACTCGTAGTGGTGGCCCTCTTTTCTAACCCTTCTCATTTGTTTAAAATTTATTTTTCTTGTGTTTTTTGTTGAATCAGACGATTCTTGTTCCTTATTCGAAGTTTATTTTTTTTCATTTTTCTCCATTGTTGGAGAATTCAACCTATATTTCTGAACGTTACTTTCTTTCTTGATTTTCAATTATTTTCTCAGCTTCTAATTCTTTTCACTAGGGTTGAAAGCACGACATCACGATTTATTTTCACTAATGAAATTTGTTCATTGTTTTCTCGTCTTTAGGGATATTGTGCATCTATTATAATTGTTCAACTAATAATGGTAACGATAATATCAACGCAATCTGTGATGATTACGAGAAATACACTTGTGACAAACACTATAAAACTGATCATCCTGATAATCTAACAGTTACGGTAGACGATGTCGTCATGAAAATGTGTGAGTTTCGTGTTTTTTCTAGTGGTTACATTTGTTGAAACTTGATACAGTTATAAGTTGTCGATTTCGTTGTAGTATGTGCCGGTTTTTATTGCTCCGTATGCTTTGTATATATACACTTATGATGGTTGTTGTTAAAAATCGTCATTTCATAAGCAGAATATGTTTGAAATTACACATCCCGGTACCTTTACTTATATTTAAAAACGAACGCTATTTCTGATTATTACTTCACCATGTAGGGTTGTTTTGAGTTTAACGAAATAGAGAATTGAGGCCGAAGCAACTAGTTTTCATGAGTAAAAAACTAGATGTTGTCATACTCGCATTTCGTCTTGCTGATTTTCAACTCTTGTACTGAACTCATGGTAGAAGGAATTTATGAAAACTGGATCCCAACATTATTGAACAAGTTTGTTGAAATGAGACGGTACGCTTGAATGAATATAATGACCAGAAAGTTAATGCTAACATGAGGGACATAATTTATAGTTTTAATAGCATGATGCACTGCAATGAATAAATGTGGGTTATCACCGTTCAACTCGTTAAATATCTAATATTTCACTTAAGGTTTCATGTACTATTAACGTTTTATGCACAATCAATGTAAATGTGTAGTAAATAAACAACCGCCACTGAAACTCATATGACATTCTCAATTAATTAATTTCTTTCGCTTTTAGTTGAAATAACGGAAAACCAAGATGTACCGAATATCAAAGCAGCTGAAATGTTCTACAAAACATGCACCCAAGCCCTTTCGGTGAAAAACGAGTTCATTACTACAAAAGTTATTGATCTAATAGAACTAGTTTTCAGTGGATGGCTGATGTCATCAGATGGCACACAGCAGTACGATCTCATAGAAAAATTTATTAGAAGTTGGAAATTCAATCTGACCGCTTCAATTTTACCATTGATATTTCAAGGTGGAAGAACCACTTTGTTTTCCTTGAACCTAATCGGCGACTATTCTCAAGAGGATAATTCAATAATTTATGTAAGATTTCAAACACCACATGTTTTTGATTATTTTCATGCACCATGTACTTCCAAGTACATAGTTTAGATGCTCTGTTCAGCTTAGGATGCTAGTGAACTGAAATTCGTCCGGAAACCCCTATAATCACTGAACAGGTTATCGCGTATGTCGATAGACATTGAATAGAATTTGAGCGATCAAGAAATTTCCCTGAGCAACGTCTCATGTAGTCAGTTGGCGAGTTTGGCTACAGACTGTCATATAGTCATAAACCCCAGTACATTGTTCTAATGGTTTGTCCTGCAGTCCAATTTGGCAGATTTGCCCACTGTTCTATAGCTCAGCAAAATTTAATTTTTTAAAGAAGGAGTTCGACTTCATTCTGTCGGTTGTTTCTATCAGTTTATGCAGCTTGTGTCGCTAGACACAGTTGAGATTCAGATAACTCGTGATGAACGAAATCAGTACAAATAACTGTCACTGATTTGTTTACCTCCAATTACTTCGTTCAATTTCTTATTTTCACTTACTTGAATGAGACGGCCACATGGACATGTGCAGTTACAAAACGAAATTTGTTTGCTGATATTTAAAATTGGTTCATCTTTGTTCGATAATGAAGCACCATTTTATTGTGCAACTGATGTCATCTAATTAAGCAAATCAGACATGTTTATTCTCTTCATAACGTGCGAATAGAGCTGTCATACAAGTGCATAGCACACATTTAATGAAATATTTTGTAAATGAGGACTTGATGGTTTCTGACACTAACTTGTGTTTATGAGAATTTTCATTTTCACTCCTTCTAAACGTGAATGTAAATTTGTCCTTCTAGATTGGACCAGGATCGCTCGATGCATTTGACAGGGAGAAATTAAACATGGTACGATGAAACAAACGTTCCGATATAATCATTTTTATTGCAGTGATTTGGAAAATTCTATTATTCGTTTAATTCGAATATTTCAATGGTTGAAGTCGCGAGTCAATCGAAGCTAGACCACTATTGTAAAGTTGGAAGCAGTGGATGGCTGTTTTTCTCTAGAATGGGACTCCTCAGTAACGCGCGTCCCCGTGATTCGAACACAAGATCTATCGGTCTTGGAATCAACTACTAAATTACCATAATATCCACAAAACCCTTACTTGATATCAATTTTTATGTTTCTAGTTGCGATAAGCATCACATAAGACGGTCTATTAAGCTTATTTGAACGAATAATGGGAAATGCGAGAGAGTACACACACGAGTAAACAGAATGAGAAAAATCGAACTTGACAAGTATGTAGATCATTGCGACGATTAAATACATTCACCAGTTGAGATTCGTAAATCGAACAAGAAAAAATTCAGTAAACATTGTTATGGGTCTATGAAAGCAGATTTGACTAAGAAAGTTTATAGCTTTGAATGTCAGTAAAGGTGCGTTTGGTAAATCGAGTGATCGTTATTTGATATAGGTCACAAACTGAAGATATCCAGTCAAATTTCTACTTTGTGGTTGGTTCGGGTGATACCGAGTGTTGATATCTGTATGTAATTTGCTACAGTTGATGAATTTTGGTCTGTTATTTTTCATTTTGCTTTAGCGACTTTCAGTTGAGCGTCCTATAATGTCTTTTATGTATGTTTTCTTAATTTTCTAATCAACTGATCAATTGTCTATTGTCTATCAGGGTAGGTGATCTCTGATAATTTACGGTCAATGGATTCGGAGTATCTTGAATAGACCGTTATTTATTTATATACGTACACACTTTTGCTTATAGCCTCGACAGTTATCCGAGTTTCTGATCTGCATAATCAAATCATTGTGAAATTAATGTTGAAACTTCCATTTTTGGTCACGAGTAACAGTTCCTTTGAGTTTCAGATCAACCTCAATTCCAGGAACCTTCTCCTTGTTCTGTTTGTTCGTCCCTTATTGGTGCAAGTATTTCATCTCGTACACAGATTCGTCATAAATTGTGTGTTTCATTTCACGATCTCACTTTCTCACTTTTGAAAGTTGAAGTCAACTCCTTGATAGCCATCTGTGTGTTGGTTTCTCACTGTGCATGTGATATGAGAATTGATTCACCTTCGTCGATCCGAATCATCAAACTGCATATCGTGTGATTTGTAAGCCTCCACAATCCAAAGAACTGCTAGCCGAAAGAGAAGAGATGAGATTCGTGAGTCTTTCCTGGAACTGTTCTTCAATTAGCATGGATCTGTGGAGTGTTGTCAATACATAATTTCATGACCAAGTCTGTTGATCGCGCTTCCTGTGATAGTGATAATCTTCTCTTGACCTCCATAGTGCCTAGGAAGATTTCATCAGGTTTCCATGTGCATGCTATCGAATGCTTTCTCGTAATCATTAATGGATGTACTGAACGTTTGATGTATCACCTGTACAACTGTCCAGTGATTTTTCATGACCATATTTTGTATGACCACAACCAGGCAATGATTTGAAGATGTAAAGGCTCCCATTTGTCTTCTGACGTCTTTCAAGAACGTTTCAGCCTTCTATTTACCCTAATATGTCTGTTCTGACTTCACGTCCATTTGATGGGTGAGACCCCCATAGTTTGTATGTAAACTTATAAGAGAGAAGGCTACCACCTGTAACTCAGTTTTCAGTAAAACATGCAGACAATAATCCTTGGTCATTAACGTTATCTTACACTGGTCCACGTTATGTTATGAAGCATTCATACGTGGTGTTCTTCATCACACTCATGGTGTTTTATCTCGGCATCATGATGGTTATGTGTCGAGTTGAACATGTGCACATGATATACTGAAACATCTTAATCTATTTTCCATAGTCTCTGTTACTAACAAGACAAGAACATACAGCTAAATCCATCCTACTATCACTGCAGGAAGCGTTATACTTAGAGTCATTCGTTAAACTATCTTCGTTTTTATTCGATTGAGTAACTTTGAAATTGATTCTTTTAATTTGAACCACAAATCACGAACTTTTATGTGAATGTAGTATATGATGATAAAATATTTGTGTCTTGCGCTTTTCATTGCAAACAGTCAGATCGAATGGACAGTGAAGTCAAAGAAAAAATCTTCAAATATTTAGAAAACGTAGGAGCTCTACAAACTAATAATAATATGATGGACGGTGTTTTTGAAATTTACTCGAATATAAAAGATGTGAGTACACAGAGAATGATATGATGTGGTTTATTCACATTTGTATCATAAACTATTTACAGTACCTGGTAGAAGGTGAAATCAGTCGTTATTTACAAGAACATATATTCAGTTGGTGGAAAACCGTGGCATTTGGCCAGTGAAATAGAGGCAATTATCAGTAATCATCGGATGGAACTAATGATACAGAATTTCCATGAATACGTGAGCACACGAACACTCAATATCCTACTTTGCAACGACACAGTTATGTTGCTTGCTGATAACAAAACAGTAATCGATTTGGACATCGGAAATATAACCATGAAACTGTTGCGTTGTATTCACAAACGATCATAAATTTCAGATAGTTAAGTAGATTTGGCCAACACTGGTAATGTTGTAAGCACGAGGCTGTCTGAGAAATTGATAACACTGATCACGGTCGTATAAAGTCGACTGCATAATTAGATCAATAAAATTAATTGGAATATTGACTGCAGGTCTGTGGACCAGTCCAAACTAAAGAACTCCGAGCATTAGTGTTTACCTAGTTTTGAAACCATTCACAATTCTTAACCGTGATGTTTAATTTTCTTCTAATGTCATGCATCAAACAGCTGATACTTTTTATCGTGTGGACATATTGTATTAGGTGCAGGAGAATACCACGATTGATGAAGATGCACGTGTCAGTATTAATGATCTGAAGGAAATCTGTTCAATTGTAAGTTGAGAATGAGGTCTATTTTGCAGTAGTTTGCTAACTTATTGTCGTCAGGAATAACTTGAAGAATTCAATGTACATCACTACACTTTGCAAGTGTGTGAATATAAAGATTGTACGATATTTTCAAGTGTTTGAGGTAACGATCGATTGAAGGCTAGATCTAACTAAGATATTTGTGTGTAATACTACCAGTGATTAATCTATTCTATTAAAAGTAACTTCAATCGCACGAGATGTCTCTTTGAATTTGTAAATAAATTTCAAATTATTTATTTTGACCAGATCGATTGGAATGTTTTATTTGAAAATGCATTCGCGCATGAATCGTATAAAAATTTGGAAGTTTATATTCAACGTAAAGAAGCTTTGAGGAAGACTTGCAAATTTCTCTTTTCGAAAATTATAACAGAAAAAGGAAGAAAGTAATTTGCTCAAAATCGAGTTTAATGATTTCTGAAACAAGTTGATTTCATAAGTATCATGTTTTCACATCCTGTTTGCATTCGGTTGTTCTCATTCGTGTACACGACTTTCAAAGTAATTTACTATAAAACGTGCCCAATGCATGGGAATCTCAGACATTTGTCTGTGTTAATTATAACAAATACTGTTTCATGTAGATATTCTCAATAACAGAATGATTCATTCACATTATTCACTTAAATCAAGATTATAACCGGTGGAATTCGAGTATTTACATATATCTTAAGCGTGAAATGGAACGACGATATTATTTTCATCAGAAAACATGATCACAATCTGACATGTATTTCATTATGCACCAATCATTTTGTTCGTATCCAACCTTCATGTGGATTGAAGGCGAACGATCATCCACGAAATCCTCTCAATCTTTAATCACAGTTGGTTTCATAGCGTCTAGGATGAATGAAATTAGTTGAAAATGATAAGGTTGTTGAATGAGCTGGATGAAATCACTTTGATCAATGTATACGTAGAGTGTATAAAAATGTCTATTATGTTAGTTTATTTCTCATCGAAGCGTGTGCATTCCTTACCTCGTCTGTTTGTTAAAGTTAGATGTTGAAATTAATCGACATCGACTTTCACGAACGACAAATACTGTCGATTTTAAATTGAATGCTATTTGTATAAGACTGAAGTACGTGGTGTTTGTAATGTTTCTTGCAGAGATATACACAATATGCTAGTGATAGATTTTCTGTACAAAATGCGACGTTACTTGAAGAAATA